CCGTTGGCGAGTCTCGAGGCGAGGGCGACCGAGGTCGTGGAGGGGGAGGAGGGGGTGGGACGGGGCCGGCGGGGGGCGGACCGTTTTGGAGGGGCCGGGCCTTCCCGGGTGGGTCGAGGCAGGAGAGGCCGGAGGCGCGGGGGCCCGGCGGGGCAGAAGCGGCGTTGGCCTGCCTGGCTGGGGACCTTCGTGCAGGCCTTCTGCGTGGAGTGTGCCGGGATAGGGGGTCTCCCTGGGCCGGGGGCGCCCTGGGGATACAGGCTGGGGTGTCAGCCTAACCAGGGGCCGCCTTCTTTCTGACTTACCGGGTAAGTGAAAGGGCTCCTTCCAGCAGTGTGTAGCGCCTCCGCGTTCCGTTGTTTATGTCTGTCAAAATGGTCTTCCCGCGCTGGAGTCCGCCCCAAAGATGAGCCCATTCACGCTCTTTGCGAAGTTTCTGTGCTCGAAGTGTGGGACTCTAAGCACTCCTCTCCTGGACCAGCAGCTCTTTTTGGCTGGCCGGAGGTGACTGAAAGGGGCGCCCAGGAAAGCTGCCTCCCTCTCCATCATGCGCACAAGACCTTTGTTTGAGCCTCTTCCTTCCCCTCTTATAAGAGCATTCTGCACACTTAGTACACTTTTACTATAGCCCTGAAATGGTTAGTGTTCCAACGAACGTTATACAGTCTACTTGATTTTAAGAGTTCCCTAACAGCTTACTAATTAGGACTTCTAAAAAAAAAAAAAAGGAACACTGGCAATGGTGGTTGATAAACGGGCTAGTTTTAGAAGATTTTTTAGTCACCCCTTTCCAAAATAAGTTTTTCTTCTATGAAGTAGAAACTTTTTTATCTTGCATTAAATGAGAAACCAGAAAAGGAAGGAGTGCTAAAGGAAAATGTTAGTTTGGAAGTTATTTATTTTTGGGTGTGTTCTGAAAAATCTCTTTTATTTATTAGGTTATTATCCAGGGTTTTCGAAGTTACAGAGATCAAACAATTGTAGACCCCTTCAGTTCAAAACATAATGTTATTGGTAAGTGTTCATGGTTTAGTAGTCAGACTTATGTCTATGCAACCTTTTAAATTCTGCCTGTATTTAGGCTTAAGGAGACAGGAATTGTTTTTTAATATTACATAAGTTTATGTGTATTTTTTATATAAAATTACTTTTCTGCCTTTTATCTGCACTGATGAAATTGCTTACTTTATACATTTAAAATACTTGGATAAGATAATTGTAAATTACTCATTTTTATTTGAGTAGCCTTGTATGTGTGTTTTAATAGCTCTAAGTTTATAGTGAATGACACTGAATTTAGCACTTCAGTTATTCTTGATATGCCATTTCCTAGTTAAAATGGTCACTATTGCCTAATTTCAAAGATGACCATTTTTTATTCACAAATTAGATTGTTCTCAGATTTTTTTGTCCTATCATAATGTCCAAGGACAGACCACACAGCTTGGTGGGAAGAGCATAAACGAGCATAGTGGAATGGGGTTCAAATCCCAGTTTTGCCATGTAATCTTTTCCAAACTTTACTGCCTTAGGTGCTTCAGTTTTCTCATTTGTAAAGTGGAGATAATGATACACATCTCAGAGCTGTTGGAAAGGTTAAATGAGAAAGCAGTTGTGTTAGGATAAGGGGGTAGTGGTGATTGCCTTACAATATAATATTTCATTTATGGGCTTCCATTTTGCTGATGCAACCAGTAAAATTGTTTTCTGACATTCTGCTGAGTTTTTAAAGGATAGATGAAGCGAGTGCTTCTAGACATCAGAAAAGCATAGAATGTGCTATTTACATAGAGCTATGCTGCACAGTGTGATCCTTAGAGGGTATATTGGTATTAGTCAGCTAGGTCTATTGTAACAAAATGTCATAGACTAGGTGGCTTAAACAACAGGGATTTGTTTTTTCACTATTCTGGAGGCCTCCCTCTCCATCATGCGCACAAGACCTTTGTTTGAGCCTCTTCCTTCCCCTCTTATGAGAGCATTAATCCCACCCTGAAGCCCCACCCTCCTAACCTCCTGTTTGTTACCTCTCAAAGGCCCCCATCTCTAAAAAGCTTCACATAGGAGTTTAGGGCTTCAACATAAGAATTTGGGGGGTGGAACACAATCCAGTCCATGGCATGGGGTGAGGTGAGATTCATACAGAAATCAGTAAAAGCTGAACACTAAATGCTGATGGTCCCAGAGAACTTTCCAGAGGTGTACTTTATTATGAAATAAATAATAAAAATTTTAAATTGAGGGCAAGAAAAAACCCTGCCATCTATACATCAGTTGCAACCTTGTAGTTGGGAATAAAGAAAACATACTTTTCCGTTGCCTTACCTACTTAGGAATCATTAATTGAATTGGTGTGCCGTTAGGTAGCTTGATTGTACTGGAGTTTTCTTTTTTATCAAGAAGAAAATCTTTAGAAATGAAGAAAATGAATAATTACTAGATTTATATTATTTCCTTAACTTAGAAGTTAAAAGTGGATAAATATCTTAATGTATCAGTTGTATACAAGTGTCCCTGGGTATCTGGGGAATGCTCATTCCCTTGTATAAAACTTGTTATAAAAGCTTAGTCTTTTGCATATAACCTGAGCATGTCTCTAGATGGCTGATAATACTACATAAATGATATGTAAATACTTATAAGTACAATGTAAATGTTGCCCACTTGTGTCTGGCACAGTGTTCCAGTTTTGCTTTTTGGAACTTTCTGGAAATCTCCCCCTCCCCCCAAATATTTTCAGTCTTTGGTTGATTAAATCCCGGGTATGGAACCCAGGGGATTTGTGATTGAGAGGACTGACTGTCATTTTATAAATAAGCTGTAAAATGATGGCCATTATTACCTAGGATGGTTAAGTTATTTCTATAGGTCCTATCAAGTGTTTTTGTTTTAGCTGTTTTACTACTTTGGTTGCAACATTAGGATTGTTAATATTCACAGTTACAAAGGAGGTTGTGTTCTTTCTTTTGTTTAACGGAAAAACAAAACATAAAATGATTTTATTAGTTTAACATGTTTTAAAAACAGGTCCCTTAATCATGTAAGAAAGAGCAAAAGTAGTATAGACTGAGATTGATCCTAAAAATACCGTGAGAAAGAGTACCACTTTGAGTGATTTTGACCCTTAAAAAAAATAGGATTTGAAGGCAGATACCTCATGTGCTGATATTTGGATGTTTGAATGATATTTAAATCTCCGAACTGTTGTGGGCACAACAAGGCGGCTGGTTGGTGAGCCAGTGACATAAGGATTGGTAAAACAATTTACCAGACATAAAGTACGAGACTAGAAAAGTTTATTAGGGGTACGCTGCCATAGACAACAGCGGGCCAGTCAGATGAGGGGTGCCTGTGTGACCACCCAGGTGAAGAACAAGGGAAAAGTTACACTTGCTATAGGCGACAGTGGGCCCATATACTTTTTTAAAGTTACCTTTTTTCTAGTCTTCGAGCAAAAGAAAGAAATATGAAGTTATAGAACATTATGGAAGAGCATAAAAGCTAAAAGGAACAAAAATTAAACTACTCAGAGATACCCATTCTTAATATTAACTTGTATTAGCCCTAGTTTCCTAGAAAACAGAGCCGGAGGCCTGTTTAGCTGCTACGGCTTTAATAGGAGGGTGCAGTCTGAGGGCAAGGGTGAGGGGAAAGTCATAGCTTTATAAAGAAGATACAGCTGGTTTGTGGTCACACTGAGTAACGTCCAGACAGACTTTGTGAACCCACCACACCCTTGAAAGCTCAAATGGGAGAGGAGTGGAGAGGGTTTTATATTCTGGTCCTTGTCTCTCTTTGGTGAACATTTACCACATAGGGCATTGGTTTCTCCCATGCTTTTGAATTGTGTTACTCTGGGGACTAACCCCCTAGAAGTGGTTGGGGAACTATAATCTTATTTGGGTTTTCACAGATCTGAATGCACCCCAGGATAGGCTGAAACAACCTGAGGTATTGGGAGACCAGCCTCTATATTGACAGGCAGCCAGAGCCTGGGTTGGGGTAGGTGAATCTGGGGACATGTATAAACTGGGTCTGTCTCAATTCTCCAGTTTTTGTGTATGTCAATATAAGTATGCCTTTTTAAATAAAAATTGATTTGTACTAATCTGTTGATAATCAGCTATTTTTTTCTTCCTTCAGAATAAACTTGACTATCTTTATCATTAAATATTCAACATCCTTAAAATTGCTATGTAGTATTCCACTATGTGGGTAGGAGTAATTCTTCAAGGGAAATTATAAATTTTTCAGTTATTTATGAGTGGATTATGGTTTGAACTATTTCCATCATTTTAATGATAAATTATGTTTTTAAACTTTTATTTTGTGATAATTTTAAGTTTACAGAACAGTTGCATGGATAAGAACAGTACAGAGAATACCCATATCTTTTATACATACCTACTTACTATTAACATTTCCCCACTTGCTTTATCATTTGCACTCACTCTCACTTTTTTTAGTTAGTTATGTACATCATGTTCCTTTACTTATGACTTCAATGTGTACTTTCTGAGAATGAGATACTTTTTATAATTACATTATAGTTACCAATTTCAGTAAATTTAACATCCAATAAAATAAAATTATTTATTTTCCAGTTATGTTCATTGACCCAGAAATGTTCTTTGGAGCATTTTTCTCCCTTAGTACAGGATCTAATTTAGGATTAGGTAGTGCATTTAGTTGTCTTGTCTCTTTAGTCTCCTTTAATCTGGGTCATTTCCATAGCCTTTCTTTTTCTTTTGTCTTTTATAATGTTATTTTTGGAAAATATTATGTAAATGATGTGTCCTTGTCAGAGTTTTACATTTGGAGGCAGATGATATTCATCAACTTCTTATTGATGTTACTTCTGATCAGCCAGTAAAGGTTGTGTCCAATTTTTCCACTGTATAGTTAGTGTTTTTTTTCCTTGCAATTAGTAAATATGTGGATAGGGAGACACTTTTGGACTATGCAAATATTGTGCTCCTTATTAAAATTCCTCCCTAGGTTTAGCATCCATTGATAATTCTTGCCTTTATTCTGATGGTTACAGAATGATAATTTTCCATTCCAGCACTCCTTTCACATTTATCACTTGGTATTCTACTGTAAGCAAGAGCTCTCCCTCCTTGGCTATTTGTTTATCTTTTTATTATTAGGATGGATGCATGGATTATCCACCCCCAGCACTAATTTATAATTCATCTAATTATTTTAGTGCTCAAATTGCTCTAAATTTAGCCAGTGGAAGCCCCCTTCAAGCTGGCCTCTTTGTCTGTATATCCCTTTTTTTTTTTTCAAGTACTTGATTACTGTTTCATCTCTTTAGAATTTACTTTGGATTAAAGGTGATAGCTTTGGGGCTAATTTGTTAAGGATATTGGCCAAGACTGAGAGAGATTGGCATGGTTATTCATTACTCAACAGTGACATTTTTGCTAAATGAGAAAGTTCAAATGAATTCATTAAATCTGAAACATCTGATATCCTTTTATGTATAGAATTGTTTATTTCTGAATTCACATAGTAAAAACAAATGCCTTATAGTTGTCTATATTTTTGTGATTATAAGAGACTATACGTGATGTGTAGTAGGGCTGATCAGAAACATTTTAACATGGAAATGGTTTGCGAATTTAAAATGGTTATTTAAGTATTTTAAAATTTTAGCATATACGAATCTTTAAATTGTTAAAAATACTATATACAATTAATATAGAATTACATGTTCATTGTAGTGATTATAAATTATGAAAACCAGATAGTATAGTTATACCTATTAACTTTAAACTATTGGGAAGGAACAGAAGAATAATAAATTTCTTTAAGAAAAAGGCTATCTGAAGTCTATAAAAATTGTACTCAGTTACTAATTAAAGCTGTCTATGATTTTTTTGTTCACTGTTCTGTTGTATTTAATTTCAGTTTTTAAGATGTTATGTTAGAAAACTGGATTTTATATTTTTTTAATACTTTCAGTAAAGTTTTATTTTATTGTTTTTTATACCAAATAACATGTGCTTTTGGATATTTTATAGTGGGCAGAAATGGATCTGGAAAAAGTAACTTCTTTTATGGTAGGTATTGTTTTTTGAATTCTAAATATAATAAGCCCTAGATATCTTAAGGCAGTTTATCAGAGGTTGTGTCTGCATGAAGCACAAGAAGTACTTCTTCAAACCGGGTTGCAATTTAATGGAGAGGATTTAGAGTGTAAGAATCAAATGAAATAATATGTATGGAAGTACTTTCTAAACTTGAGTGCAGTATATAAATGTTGTAAATGCGAACAGATGGGAGTGGAGGGGAGGGGAATAATTAATATTATTTTGGAAAATGGCTTATTGGCTTTATATAAATCAATTATTTCAATAAAAGATGAAGGAGTATTAAAACTTAATGGACTCCATGGAGACCGTTGTCAGTTTGAAGATAGTAAATAGGGCTTTGAAAATTGTCTTTAAAGATAAAATGCATTTAATAATAGAAATGCCTCTTAACAAATCCTTTGGGGAGAAAAAATATTTTAACAGTATTGGACCATAGAAGGAGTAGGTTGAAAAAATTTTGAACCTCTTAGTTGAGTAGTGCTTGAGGAAAAGCGGGGTTTAGTAATAGCAAAGGTTCTATTCCTTATGTGCTCACAGATCGAAAGGATCCTCTGTGCCCCATCAGTGATTGTAATTTGGGAATAGTGAGACAGTAGGATTGGAGTGGAAGTACTCTGGGGGTGATGAGGGCAGCTTGAATTTGTCCCCTCCAAGGTGATAATAAAAGAAAACCAATCCCCACCTACACCCTCAGCAAACACATTCATATACACACACTCTTAAAGTATCAAAGGTCTCTTGGGTGTACTGGAAGAAGAACAGTTGAGTAAAGAGTTCCTCTTCTAGGACACGGTTGTCCACTTAGGCACTCTATATGAAAGTAGGAATGGCTGCTGCTTACAGAAGACAGGTAGTGTAAATACTGCAGGAGAAAGTGGAAATCTGAAACATTGTCCAGTACTCCTACTTAGTTCTGTTTCTTTTGATGAAGTATCCAATTAAGGATATTATAGGAATGTATCCTATTTTGTTAAATATTTTAATTCATATCATTTATGTGTAGTGGGTAAAAGCAAATATGGTGTGAAACCTAACCAGTGTATACTTTGACCAAAAGGTAGACCTTAGTACTGCTTGTCTCTTCATGTACCTCAGTGTTTTTTTTTTCTTACTTTAAATGTTTCAATGGAAACAAGAGTTTTCTAATATCATTTCTTAGCTGATTAGTCTAAAGTACAGGCAAATTTTCTGCATTCTTTTTTCTATATGAAACAGGTAATCTACTTTATCTGCATTGTTTATTACCTGATATACTATATTCTGTGAAGGTATGGGAAATTATGAAAAAAGCATAAATACTTTTTTAAATTGTACTAATACTTGTTTTTGTATTTCTAGCAATTCAGTTTGTTCTCAGTGATGAATTTAGTCATCTTCGTCCAGAACAGCGATTAGCTTTGTTGCATGTGAGTGAGACTGCTCTAAGATGTTATTGATAGTATATACTTCTGAAAATACATTGTCAGTTCTGGTAAACAAAATTATTTGTTCAAGTTTCAGATTAAGTTGTGAACACGACACAGTCTATCTCTTATGTGTGTTCTGCTTTGAAATTTATCATACTATATTAATGCAGGGTAAAGGCTTACTTTTTATATAATGGTAAGAAATTTGTAGGATTTCCCTATAGATGTATATGTCTTCCATATAAATATAAATTCATTATTAAGAGTATGGGCTGGTCAGGTACTAGAAGCAGGTTTGCTGAGGAGAAAGAAGAGTTAGGTTGGGGATTAGAAACTGAGACTCAAAAAAGAAAACTTTGAGACTCAGAATCAGAAGTTAATTGGCAGCATAGAAAAGCAAGCATTACAAACTAATCAACATAAAGTTATTTTTAGCCATATTTGTACTTAAATGGTTACATCATTTTCCATATGAAAGACAGAT